AGAATCTAGTAGATGTTGTATGTAGAAGCTGTGTTCTGTTCACATGTTTAGATGTACTGATCATTCCCTGGTTCTTACTCAATCTTCACTGATGAGAATGGTGTATAATGGTGAATTGATCTGTGTGTTTGGTGTATGTGTGTATGTGTGTATGTATGTGTTTCTCCATGCTCATATGTGTGTGTTGTAAGGCTCATTCGTATGTGTGTGTGTGTGTGTGTATCCATTCTCATTCTTGTGGGTGTGACTCAGTCCTTACTTGTGTGTGTGTGTGTGTGTGTGTGTGTGTGTGTGTGTGTGTGTGTGTGTGTGTGTGTTTGTCAGTAGTAGCCACTACAGGTCAGAGGTCGGCAGTGTTTGTGTTTCAGTGTCAGTGAAGTGTGCTGTAGGGGGAGATTTATGATGTGACTGTCTGGTGGACTGTAGAGTAGAGGTTAATGAAGATAGATCAGAGTCCTCACTCTCTTTTCACCTCCCTACCTCCCCTTCCCTACCTCCCTCTTACTGTCTCCCTCTGTCTTTCCCCTCCTTTCTCTCCACACCTACTGTTCCATTTCGCTCATATCTGTGACATCATAACCACCTCAAATCTGTGACATCGCAACCACATCTTGTCCATGACATCACAACTACATCACGTCCATGACATCACAACCACATCACGTTCGTGACATCACAACCACATCACGTTCGTGACATCACAACCACATCACGTTCGTGACATTATAACCACCTCACGTCCGTGACATTATAACCACCTCACGTCAGTGACATCAGAACCACCTCACGTCCGTGACATCATAACCACCTGGCTAGCATCATCAACCCTGACAAAATATAGCATTTTGCAGGACTTTTTAGGTTCCACAGCAAAACGTTGAGCACTTTTCAAATCCACAAGCTCCAAGTCGCGGTACAATGCTCTCAGTGATGTTCTCGTGGTTGGTGATACAGAAGGACGATCTTTCTAACACACTGCATAAATATAACATTCATGAATATTGTAATACAGTGTGTCTGTTTCTACTTATTTGCATTCTGAGAAGCCATAGATGTGTACACGCCTGGGGCTGAAAGACAGAGAAGGAGAGGGGGGGATCAGAGGGGCTAGGGGGGGTTGAGTGGAGTAACGTGAAAATGATGGAGCTGGTGGTGGAGGCAGGTTTTAATCAGCACAAACATGCCTAAATATAATGACATCAGAATATATATATATATATTTATATTATATATATATATATATATATATATTTACACTCATACACATACATATATACAGTACCAGTCAAAGGTTTGGACGCACCTACTCATTCAAGCGTATTTCTTTAGTTTGACTATTTTTCACATTGTAGAATAATGGTGAATACATCAAAATTATGAAATAGCAAACATGGAATAATGTAGCAACTGAAACAGTGCTGACCAGTTCAAGATACATGTTGTAGATTCAGGCAATCATTCCATGCAAAGCTATAATACTGTACATGACTTAATTTTTTTCAATCAATCACATGTATTTTATGAAGCCCATTTTACAACAAATTTGTCACTAAATGCTTTTACATACACCCAGCCTAATACCCGACAGAGCAAAAACTCCCTGATGGTTCGAATTTAGGAAGAAACCTAGCGAGGAACTAGGCTCTGAGGGGTGGCCAGTCCTCTTCTGGCTGTGTTGGGTGACCTTTTAATAGTTTAATAATTGTTATTTTTTTTAATTCATGCAGAGAGTCTTATTAAATAGTCCAGGGCAAGTACATGAACAGTCAAAGAGGGACTACAGCTAGGGTTTAGGGTTTTTTGCACCCTAAAATGAAGGGATTATAGAAAAAAAGTTAATTCAATAGGAATGTAAATACCCTGAAATGTAATAAAGCGTCTGCACATAAAATGCATTTCATCATATCATATTTAGAATGCTGGAAAACAGAGCCAGAATAACAAAAACAATCGCACAGTCAAAACACATTAGCTAACTGTATGCACTTAATCATCACAGGAGAACCCTTTCTGTTCTACAGGGGAACTCTCCCAGGTAATACTCTTCCCCAAAAAACAAATCTTTTTCTTAAACCAAAGGGGTTCAACTGGTACGGAAACGTGTCTTTAAAGGGTTATACTATGGAGACGGTCGAGGAACTCTTTTTAGGTTGACTACAGGCTTTTTCCAAATAACAGTCTTCCTACTCACTCTGTTATACATCATTTTAGTTACAGAGTTAAATACACATCCTGTGAAATAAAGGAGCTCATTCACTCAGCCTGCTGCACACATTTACACTCCAACTGCCAGGAAGGAAAAACACACACAGACACACACAGACACACGCACACGCACACGCACACACACACACACACACACAGAAGAATACAACTCAGAGGAGGATTAGATGCTATAGGGGAATAGATACAATCAAACAGTATGTTTAAGACAGAGAGGATTGCAGATCCAACACCATTTACTACAATGGAGGTAAAGACCGATAGATGGGGGTAAAAAGGGAGAGCGAATAAGTGTGTGTGTGTGTGTGTGCGTGCGTGTGTGTGTGTGTGTGTGTAGCGGGGCGGGGGGGGTCTGATGAAAAGGTTGTCCACATAGTTAGTGGCAGTCATTTTTGCCAGCATATGAGCACACAGCCTAACTCCCTAACATGTGTGTCCAATCAGAGGTGGACGGCTCTCCTGTCTATACTTTTCCTAAAATCCGCCATGATGTCACCATGAACCCTCAGCGAACTTACCTCTGTCAAAAAGCATTACTATAGCGCTGCCGCTCTCTCTTTCTGCCTCATTCTCTCTCTCTCTATCTCTTTCTACCTCTTCCCCTCTTTGTTTCTGTTCTGCCGGCATTCTTCTTCTTTTTCTTTTCCTGAATTATTTAGGCCAAAACCACATTATTTTTCTTTCTTTCCTCATTTATTTTTTCTCATATTTTTCCCCTCACCCCTAGCCGTTTGTCTCCCTCTCTCTCTTTGTCATATCTCGCTCGGCCCTAAACTTCTCTCCCTCCTCTCTCTCCCTACCTCTCTCTTCCACCTCAATTTCTCCACCTCTCTTCCCTTCTCTCTCCCCACCACAGTCTCTCTCTGCTCTCTCTTTCCAACTCCCTCGCCACCTCTCTTTTCCAAACTATCTCTCTCTCTCTGACCTCTCTCTCCCACCACTGTCTCTCTCTGACCTCTCTCTCCCACCACTGTCTCTCTCTGACCTCTCTCTCCCACCACTGTCTCTCTCTGACCTCTCTCTCCCACCACTGTCTCTCTCTGACCTCTCTCTCCCACCACTGTCTCTCTCTGACCTCTCTCTCCCACCTCTGTCTCTCTCTCTCTGACCTCTCTCTCCCACCACTGTCTCTCTCTCTGACCTCTCTCTCCCACTACTCTCTCCCTGGCTGGCTTGATCTAATTGAATCACCACAAGTTGCAGTGCAGAGCCAAATGTACCAGGATGTTCTGATTAAGATTGACTTTGTTGGTTTTGCAAACCGGCTCCGAGTTCTGGGCAGAGACAGAGGAGACCAGAGAAGGCAAAAAAGACAGAGGAAGGCCAGATAAAGAAAGTGGTAAAATGGGGAAGAGAAGGGGAGAAAAGACAGTAAGGGTTGTGGAGAGAGGGACAGAAAAGAGCAAATGAAACGAATAGGGGAAAGATGAAGAGGGAGAAACAGAGATGGAGAGAAAACACAGAAAGTCAAAGAGAAATGGGGAGAGGAACAGCGAAAGAAACATCTGAAAGACGAGGACGAAATACACAGACAGAAGAGGATAGAAAGACAAAGTGAGAAAAACAGAAAAACAGAGACGGAGAAAAGCGAAAACACAAAGAGAGAGAAAGGGGCAGAATCTAGAGAGGCAGGGATGGGGGGGTCGACAAGCAACAGAAAACCAGCCGGAGCCCCATATGGAAGTGATTCAGTGACTACAGCAAATCTGTGAGCTCTTTAGAAAAGGTTCTCTTTTCCAACTCGCTCACTCTCTCTCTCTCTCAATCCACATAAAACCACCCTTGTAAGAAAACAGGCTACTTAGGTACATGATATAGATATGTACGTATGTACAATAACAAGAAAGCTTTAGTTTAGAAGCCTCTCTTTGAGCCAATAACCCTTAATGTGATTATAGTGTGATTACTGGAGCACGGGAAATATAGAGATGAGCTACTGTCTCCAGAGCAGTCGCAAAGCCAAGAATAATACCACGCTTCAATAATACCATACTTTCTTAGAGTCATTATCGGGCATTCTTCACTTATTAGGCTTCAGAGAGCACCCTTAATGGAGACCAAACACAGTGTGACTGAGGCAGAGGCTGGTGTAAACATGTTCATCATCATCATCATCCACAGCTGAACTGGCATCCCATCACACAAGTAAAAACTCTACCAAATGAAACAAAGTGTGTGTACATGTGTGTGAGGGAGTGGGAGAGAGAGAAAGTGAGTCAACGAAAGAAAGACAAAGATGCCTGTCTCTTTAGCCCTCCAGGCACAAGGTGTTTTGCACTTTGCAGATGTGTATGTTGGCAGCAACTTCTGGTCTGTTTGGTCCCCAAACCCGAGGACAGTCTGTAATTATCTGTCCTGCCATAACATGTTCTCATGTGCGCAAGTCAGCCAACAAACACACTTCATAATTTAACACAGTTCTAATACGAGACACCAAATTAATCCTGTCAGAGAATGATTTACCTAAGAGCGGAGAACGCTTCCCCCCCCTGGCTGTGTGGCTCAACAATAGTGATAGAGGAGGTCGACCCTAGGACAGTGATGGAATTATATATCGTTTAGTTGGTTAGGCCAAATAAATGCATATACAACCGATTATTACGCAAAATGGCTTACATGGTAAGATTTTTATTAAGTAGGTTAATACCCTGCTTACTGCTCAATTGAGGGACTCAAATCTAACTTGGTAATCACTGGAATTATTGTTATTTTTTATTTAACTTTTATTTAACCAGGTAGGCAGACTGAGAACAAATTCTCATTTGCAACGGCGACCTGGAAAAAGCAAGGGATTGAACCCTGGACATCGTACATATAAAGCATGCACTCAACCACTGAGCTACCAACTCCTCCTACCACTGAGCTATTGCTCCTCAAAGAGCAAACAAAACCATAACTGTACCTCCACAAACTCCAAAAGCAGCAACATGAAAACCCTCGTAGGGGGAGTTTATCGCAGCAGAAATGGTATTGATGGCGTTACAGCTCACTCTAGGGGCCAAAAATAGAACTGCAATAGAGAGCTCCCATCCTGTGAGGATGTAACTACTCCTCCTGCCACCAAGGGGCGCTGTCGTCTCAGACATTTATGCAACAGAAAACGTTTCATAAAAACCCTTTGGACGTACTTTGGACGTATTACTTCTAAAGAAATCAGTAAATCGTATAACAGGAATTTAAACAGTCGTATATACAATTTTTCACACTTACGAGCTTATCTTTTATCTGTTCTCTTTAGGTTCATTTTAGGAGAGGAGAGACAGATGAACATGCATGAAAACGCATGAATGAAATTAGAAAGTGTGATCTTTTTACCACGTTCTCCACGTTCTCGCGTGGCATCATAGGGCTGTATCCTTAGTAGGGGGAAGTTATACCTTATATTACTGGTTTTGGAATACATCTGATTGGTTACATAAGTATTACCTTGTGTATAAACATGTGCATGTCTTTCTTTAAACCAACTATGTTTAGCATGGTTACGCAAGCAGTTTAACAAAAATCACAACAGCTTGCTAAGATGTGCTCGAAGGAAACATGTATCGACCTTTTTTTAGGCCTTTATCATGAAAATTGTCAGGGAAAGATATTGAGGTCAAATATGTGCATATCTTCATATATTCATTTTGCACCCTGCGAACCTTCGCGGAGCAAAACATTTTCCGTGTTTGCTCAGTCATGTCACCGCCTCTGTAAGGCTGCCAAAGGACAGGATATGGGAATCATGAAATACCCAGGATGAACATCAGATTTCAAGGAAGATATACCAGTCTGTTCCACTCTGGGGGACATCACATTCAACTTCTTTCAATTGTGGTCAACAGCTTAAAAAAGCAGTAATAACCATTTTTGGGGTATAATAAAGCATACTCCATTGAACATTTCGTGAGGATGTTTAATCTGTTTGGTTAATGTTTGGTTCTCACTTAAAAATGATTTAATGTAGCGATTGGCTTCACAAACCTAATAAAATCGCTTTCTAAGTGCGAGCGGGAAAGATTGAACTGTTTATTTTGGTTTGGGTGGGCATAAGGTCTTTATACAGTTTTCATTTATTACCTGCTGAACTCTGAAACCATTTGGTAACCTTGCTATGCACACTGCTACCTTGTTTATTTGATCTGCCATTTGCACAGTGTGTGAGTTGTATCGTTCATTGCTGTCTCTTGCCATACACACTGCTAACTATTTATTATATTTGACATTTGCAAATATGCTTACTGTTTGTAATGCTACATTGTTGAAGTGAACACCTGCACATTTACTTATTGTCAATTGCACATCCTGTCCTCCATCTCATTTGACTCATACATAGGCACATTGACACACTTGAAACAATATATATCCGGTACCTGAAGCATAACTTGTGAAAGGTGACCATAATGCAAACGTTTAGAGTGCATACATTCTAATTGATTACACTGTAAAATTGCAAATGACTGCAAGGCCTGGTGTTCAAATGTACATGGTCTTTTACAGCTGTGTCTATGGGGATAATAGATTACATGTGTAAATAGGGTGCATGGGAAGAAACAAGCAGACACACACGTGTTGGTACCTTTGAGCACAGCACGATGAAAATAACTATTTCTGGTTGCAATTGCAAATGATTCCGCTCACTGTAGTATTTGTGAAACTCAACACTTAATAAAAAATATTAATAAAAAGCAATGTCCGCCCCAGAATGCAACCATTATTTGTAAACATAATTTTTTTTACTTTTGATTAGTTTTTGTTCTTCTTCTAAACCGGAACAGTTTGATGTGGAAAATTATTTAAACTTTCGGGACATTATATTGCAACTAAAAATATATAACTTTTCAACCCTAACCTTCGACCCAAAATGTTTTTCAAATGTTCTTATTTTTGGGGGGTTCTCATAAGCATATAAAAGCAATCACATACACACAAAAAACACACTTAAAAGTTGAACAATATCTATGGGCATACTCGACTGTTGACCAAACTTGAGCACTTCCGGACAAAGTCACGATGAGCCATGCCCATCCTGCATGTGCCTCGCCCTCCATCCAGCCTCTAGTTACCGCATGCTATGTGTTATGCATCAAATGTATGTCAGTAGAGCAGCGCTCGCTCCCGCAGACCGGCACGTGCACAGTGCACGTGCACAGTGGCTTTACAGAGCGCGCTGCACGGTCACATAAGCGCATCCAAACTCCCCCTCGGTCGTAGATATCAGCCAATGAAAATGCACACAACAGTAAAGAGGGAAAGTAGAGTTAACAGGGGGACATATACCGAGAACCGATAGGTCCCACACCAAAACAGACACAACAGAAGTTTAGAGGGCACAACAGAAGTGACTCACATTCCTCTCAGCCATCTTAAAAAAATTGATCTGGATGCGTGTGCGGGATGCATGCGGGTAGCCTACTTGTTGGTGTGCATGCCTGCCTGGCGTACAGTTGCGTGCGTACACGGATGTTAATTCTTGATATTTCTGAGATGTACTTGTTCTCTTGTTGTTGTGACACTTGCATGTGCTGAACCGAGCAACTCACACGCAGTGATTCGGAGCACAGATCGGATCCAGGCAGAACTTCCAAGTCGAATCTCCTGCACACTTGAGGCATTTGGACGTAACTCTCCTGCATTGTATACAGTTGGATATAACTGCTTACAGTACCCTAAGGAGTTGTCTGTCATTTGGTAGATAAGTGTGCCATTCCCTGTGTGCTGGTTCTGTGCGTCTGGCATTTATTAGCAGATAGTTCGGGACTCCCGGTTGTCTGAACTTCAGTACCACCATAATAACATTTATTCAAGCAGCAATACAAATCGATAAGTTGAGCGTCATTCACCACAACTAACAGGACACATCAGGAAACATGGAAAGTCCCGGTGGTATGTATGCTTTTGACATATTTGTTATCTCCATCGATTGCAATTAATGACCATCCGTGTTTTCGTTAGGTCATCTATTTATATTGCACAAACATGTGTGTACTGTTTGTTCACACAATAATACATTTCGAATTGGAGAATTTTTTTTACACGGAAAGTTGAATTTAACTATTTAAACGTCATATAACCATATTTTATTTTGTTGTATTTGTCATTGGCTATTTGTAATTTCTTGTTCCCCTAACTGTGCATTAAACACATCCCATAAAGTATCGCGTGCAAATGTTATGTAAAGTTTCTTAAAAGGAATGCTCGTTTAATGAGATTAAAAACAGCAATTGTGTCCAATTATGCGTCAATTAAATTGTATAATGGAGTGCAGTTTACATTTCTGGCGGAACCATTTGATGTTGAATCCTGATACGTTGCAAGTGTTATTTTACTGAACACGTAGATGTTTCCTTTCAAGCTTACAGAGGTGCTGTCCCAAAATGTCCAAATATTTTTGAAGACCATGCATGCTTTAAGCTCACGCGGCTTGGAGCCTGTTTTAACTCATGAAAACAAACGTGAACCTGTAATAGCCAGACTATATGCAACCCAGGCATTTTCCATGCCAACTAGAAATGACCAGATTACTTTTTTCGTTCTTATCTATTTGTTAATTATTATGTGCAACCTGTTTGGCATTGAGAGATACAACTGTTGCTGTTATTGGGAGACATGGGGCAGTGATATTGGTTGATAACGCAAATCCTACGGCCAGATAGATAAGTGCAGAGCGTATAGGGCGGTGGTTTGGTTTACCAAGGCAACCGGGCAATATTACCCTGTATATTGTTATGCTATATGTGTATAGCCTTATTATGTCAGATATGACCTGTACAGGAAATACTAAATGCTTCACAACGCGCTTCTTAATATAATAAACGAATAAGTCGAATGTCTTAAATACGTATACAGTTGACGAATGTAATAGACATCTGTTTTAAGGATCTGGGATATTTAAGCCTGATTGCAGGGCATCCGGAACTAATGCAATCTACCTGTCACTGTGATGCTTTCTGAACAGTGGTTCACTTTTCCATAGAGATCTCAGTTGGTTGATACTGGTTCCCAATCCCCCTGCCTAACTGGGCACAGTATTAAGCCTCACTGTGATGTGGAATTTGTGATGGAATTTTACTGAAAAGCACGCACACACATTACAGCATGCAGGTCAGGTGTTACCACGACGTGTGTGCAGTAAACTATATCGTTAAAGTGTCCATTTTCCACTGCATGGTCAGATAACTGGTGCTATGTGGTCAGAATCGGGTTACTGACTCTATGCACGGTGGGTAAAATAGTGTACGACGACCGATTCGAGCGCCCACGCGCCGCTCTCCCTATATACCCTACATCCGGTTCTATTTATTGTCCTTTTAGATTATACCCGAGTTTACGCATGCGGGTGGGAGGTTGACATTGCGCGAGTCTTTTCCCACAGAATGCGCGCTCCGCTCCATGGCTCCCTCGAATTGCGCTCACGTGGATGCACTTGCTATGCCGCGTGCAAAGCGTGATGATGCGTGTGCCCCCCCGAGTTCACTGGATGTCTCCCCCTGGCACGTTAATTGTGATGCCGCCTAAAGTGATGGACTAGGAGGGCTGGTCAGTGAGTCAGCGGTTTAATTAATAATGCATAAGCTTTATCTCTCCTCACGTTTCCACGTCTAATGCCATATCTTATTGAATTCTAAGCAAATCCATTATTGTCTGACTCCTGTGTCACAAATCCCAACATCTGTTCTACACTAAAGTGTCTTCTTTGCTATTGAGTATAGGCTTATTCTACTGCTGAAAGCTCTTTACACTTATATAGCTTTACGCCGTACAGTTATTTGATCCTCAGGGGGCAGGGTAATGCTGGAACTGGGTGACATTGTTTTTGATAATATTGTGACATTATTTTTTAGTAACGTTGTGACAGTATATTTGGTAA